CTCACTGCAGGCAGCACAAGGTCAGGCTTGGCTGAGATGTGATGCGGAATTGATTAACTCGGGCCACACATCAGGAATGTCCACTTGGGGCAGGAGAGAACCCGTTTCCCCGTATAACCTTGTACCTTCAGAAGAGGACAGAGAAGTAAACCGAAAGGGGTCAGAGGTCAACATCTTCTTACATTTGCTGTCTGTTCTCCTTATTTGCTGATTCACTAGTCTTGTTTTTTTAATAAAAACAATAATATTATCAATTGGTGTCAAGTGATTCTCAAGTGAGGTTCAGATGAAGAAAGGCCTTTTCGCTAATTTGATTCCCTCCTTCCAACAATAACAACAACTTGCACTTACATAGCGCATTCCACGCAGGGTAGCGTCTCAGAGCTCTTCCTGTAGAGTTTCCCATTTTACCACAAAACTGGGTAACACAGGAACAAGCTGGGTTTTCACTCTGGCCAATCTGAGCCACCTTTACTTTTTAGATCCAGCCCTGAGATTATCCAGTGTGAAATGCGCTTTATAAATGCAAGTTGCTTTTATAGATTATGCTAGATCTTTTAATCCCATTTCCCACGATTCCTCCAGGTCTACGCAGACCACCGAACACGCATTCATAACATCTAGGCTCGACTATACAAACTCTCTGCTTGTCGGCCTCCCCAACTTCTCCCTCCGAAGGCTGCAGATCATCCAGAACTCTGCAGCCCGTGGTCCTCACCTTCAAAGCCCTCCATGGTCTCACTCCCCCCTACCTCTGCAACCTCCTAGCCCCTACCATCCCGCTCGCTCCCTCCGCTCAGCGAGCTCCGGTCTGCTTCACGTCCCCCGCCTCGCCCACCCCACCATTGGTGAGCGGGCTTTCTGCCACTCTGCACCCAACCTCTGGAATTACATCCCACAGTCCCTCCGCCTCACCCCCTCCCTTGCCTCCTTCAATACCCATCTATCTCAAGACCCTCCTCTTCGACCATGCTTTCGATCATCCTCCTTCAACAACAATGACTACAACAAAATTACATTTGTATAGCGCCTTTCACGTCGGGAGCATGTTCCAAGGCCTTCCCTCCCTTCCCCAATCCCGACCCCCCCCAGCTCAGGTCTGAAACACTGACTATCAAGTGCTTTTGTTGTTGTTGTTGTTGTTGAAGTGGTGATTGAATCAGATAGTGTAGAAGTATTTAAGAGAAAAGCTTCACATGAGGAACAGGGGAATGGGAGGGAGGGAGACTGACTGATTGACTTGTGTAGAGTATAAACAACGGCACAGACTGGCCGATTGGTTGCGTCGAGTTGCTTGTTTCCGTGCTGTACATTCTTTGTCATTCTTTTTAGCTGTGCTATGCTGAAGGTGAGGGACTGTGTCACATGTGCCAGCATCTCCTCCCAGTGCCCAGTGTCTTTATGATCAATATCTGTGCCTTGCGTGGGGAGACTAAATTTCCGTCAACACTAACAGCAGGTCTTTTATCTCCTTATTAGTCGGATATTACTGCTCACTCCTCCCCACGCACTCACCATATAGGTCAGAACCTCACAAACATGGCACAATATTATATAACATTGAATACAATATTATGTCAAATACTATTGTACTAATGTATGTCTATAATGTCCAAATGTCTCAAAAATTCCTGTCAAGTGTAGAAACTGTATATGTAGGAAAAATGTCACACAGCAAATCCCACCGACCATGATGAAGTGAGTGACAAGATTATCTGGAGAATTCGTGGCCAGGACACAAGATGAAGGAAGTACTTAGGCTGTTGGGAGAAATAGCAAAGGAATATTCTCTCCTCATTGGTGAAGGAAGAGTTGGCATTTCTGTGGTTAGATTATTTCCAGAAAACTACATGTGAAGCAGATCTGCAATGAAAGCAGATTTGCAGAGTTTGCGGCTCATGCAGATCATTGTAATTGAACAGTAAATCAGTGTCCAACATGACGCTCTGTTGCCTTTGTCTTGGAGTCCTGTAGCTCAGTGGTTAGAACACCCGTCTTGCAAGCGAGAGACCTGGGTTCAATTCCAAGCTGTCTGGGGCTGCACGCAAACGGTTGCTATGTTTACCAACAAAAATAATCACTACATTTACACCAATTATTGTAAAGCTAAGAAGTCTGTGCGTGATGAGGTGCTAAAACAATGTATTGTAATACATTCTTCACAATTCTCTTGACTGAAAGACTTGTTCCCTGTGTAACCTTCTGGGCCTGTTTCTGGCTGAGCTTCTCCAGCACCTGAAGGGAGTCACCACTGGGTGCTGTAACCTTGTTATCCCATTTGGTTAATGAACGTTTTCACGTTCAGTGGTGGCCGGAACAGCTCAATATTGTTCCAGAAATCACAGTTCCCAATAGCAACAGATCCCAAGTGGAAGGAAAAGATTTTCCTGGAAGGAAAATTCAGGTCTGATGCTCTTTTAACAACTAGACCCTCTCTTCTCTTCTCTTATCCTCTCTTCTTTCTCCTCTCTTCTCCTCTCCTCTCTCATCTCTCCTCTTCTCTCTTCTCCTCTCTGCTCTCCTCTTTTCGTCTCCTCTCCTGTCTTATCCTCTCCTCTCACCTTTCCTCTTCTTCTCTCCTATCTTCTCTCCTCTCTCCTCTTCTCTCTTCTCCTCTCTGCTCTCCTCTTTTCGTCTCCTCTCCTGTCTTATCCTCTCCTCTCTCCTCTCACCTTTCCTCTTCTTCTCTCCTATCTTCTCTCCTCTCTCCTCTTTTCTCATCTCCTCTCCTCTGCTCTCATCACCCCTCTTCTTCTCTCCTTACAGTTTCACAAGCACCAACTACCTTCCAATCCCCCAGCCAAGTGGGCCTTCCTCGTTCAAGAGGACAGACTGTGAGTCAAAGTAGATAAGTCCATGATTTGGGGATCCTCACCTGTGAGCGGAAAACATGGCTGATGTTTCTGCCATGCAATCTCTTTCTCCCAATTGCAGCTGGGCGGAGGGTTGAGACATGAGAGCTTTATGGTGGCAGTGGGAATTGGGAGGGCAAGCCATGATATTTAGAAATTTAAACCAAGTGACAAGCTACAAAGGTCTTATTGAATTTCCTTTGTTGTGTAGAGCAACAGAGCCACATAATATAATTACATCTGAAATAATATATTACGAGTAACAGAGCCACATAGTATAATTATATCTGAAATAATATATTACCTGGGAGTTCTTACAGTTCATCCACAAACCACAGTCACTACACTTTACAATAATATTAATTCTTGCATTTGATATATCATCTTATCACGTCTTTGATATATATCTTGTGAAGCACCTTGAGACAACTGTCCAACATGAAAGACGCTACAGCAAATCTATTGTGGTGTATTGGAGAACAGAACTTCTCCCAGGTGGAAATAATAATAAAATCCTTGGATTTGATATAGCGCCTTATCACGCCATTGCTCTCTCCCCTGCCTCGTTCAAGGCGCATCTCAAAACCCTCTTTGAATGAGCCTTCGGCCACCAACCTGCCCTCCACCCTCCCCGATCCCGACCCCCAGCTCTGGTCCAAATCCCTGACTGTCTAGTACCATCTCCCCATGTGACAGGTACTGTGTAAATGTCATTTTGTATTGTACAAGTATGGGTCAAAGATATGGCATTTCAACTCATTATTATTATTATGTGTCACCTACTCATGTGACATGCGAATATGTGAAACAACATTGAAAGGAGAGAATTGAAAGAGAGTTCTTGGTTTGTTTTGATAAGAATCTTTATTATAATACATAATGACAGTACATTATTATACTACATTATATATTGTACAGCAATTTCAAATATTCACATCACACAAAAATATATATATTTATAAAAAAATCACAGTATTAATAACAATAATAAAGTAAAATAAAAGCGAGTTTGATTATGAGTGACTTGGCCCAGGATGGAGCTCACTCAGTTCATCATCCCTTGTTCCCAGTGTTGTCGTGTGGAAGGAAGAGTCTAGTCTGTCTCCTCCAGAGTCCAGTGTTGTAATAATAATTCTTGCATTTGATATAGCGGCTTATCACGTCTTCGAGATGTCTCAAAGTGCTTCACAGGATACACTGAAAGTGAATTGACTGTATATTTTTAATCCTTGGATTTGATATCCCTAACACTTGGGATATCAAATGTGGTGAAACGTGGCAGCCAATTGCACACAAACAGTCGTGGATTGAGTGACCAATTTATTCTTATTTTTTTTTGTGAAGCAATTATTACCCCCGGAAAAGCGATCCACCAATCAACTAACAACCGGGTTCCTACTTACTGCTGGTAAACAGAGGCGTGTGGAGTAAGGAAACTTGCCCAACATTTCGCTGTGGAAAGAAGAGTCTGTCTGCTCCAGAGATAGACGAAGACACTGATTGGTTTTGTGGAATTTTTAGCAGCAATTGGAATTGTGGAGGCAGCTTAGTGAAGGTTCTGGAACTCAATGCAGTGGGTGGAACAACAACAACAACAAGATTACATTTGTATAGCGCCTTTCACATCGGGAGGACGTCCCAAGGCGCTGGACAGTGACAGCATTTCAGACCCGAGCTGGGGTCAGGGGGGAGAAAGAGGGGAGGGGGGGGTCGAAGAAGAGGGTCTTGAGGCGGGACTTGAAGGAGGTTAAGGAGGGGCGAGGCAGAGTGATTGGGGGATGGAGTTCCAGAGGTTGGGGGCAGAGTGGCTGAAGGCTCTCCCGCCAATGATGGGGCGGGTGGATCGGGGGACGTGGACCAGGCCAGAGATGGCTGAGCGGAGGGAGCGGGCGGGTTGGTAGGGGGTGAGGAGGTCACAGAGGTAAGATGGGGCGAGGCCGTGGAGAGCTTTGTAGGTGAGGACCAGGATCTTGAACTGGATCCTCTGAAGGATAGGGAGCCAATGGTGTTGGGCGAGAGTGGGGGAGATGGGGTCACAGAGTTTGGTGCAGGAGAGGACTCGGGCTGCAGAGTTAGTTCTGGATTATCTGCAGCCTGTGGAGGGAGGAGTTGGGAAGGCCGACAAGCAGGGCGTTTGCATAGTCGAGCCTGGAGGTACATTGATTGTCATTCACTTTGTGGCTGTTGATGGCATCGTGGGACTTTGTTATGCCCAAGTAGCTGCCACATTTGCCACCAAAAAGCAGTAACTGAACATTAACAGGAATTACTAGAAAACATTTTGAGATCTAAAAGATCGTTAAAAAAGGATGATTCTTGTAAAACAAACTCTCCATCACAAATACCAATTGAAGCATTGATTAACCTGAATTCGCAAAATCCCTGACTGCCCTCACAGTGCCAGACCAGCGAGCTCAGCAGCTGTGAAGACAAAGCCTGTCATTCAATTGAACACACAGCCACCGACCCAGCCAACCAGCCAACCCTAACAGAGCCAGCCTTCTGCAAAGCTCCCCTCAGCACCAAACGTAAACTAGAAAACAACGTGGGTTTGTGAGAGCAGCTAAACAGCCCGTCCGACCAGCCCAACAAGCAAATCATACAGCAAAACAACTCAGAGCGGAAAGAGCACAAAACATAGTGAGCTGGATTAGTGGGCAATCAGCATGAGCTCTGGAGATGGTTTACACAGTTTATACAACGATGCAATGTTACGTGCAGTATTTGTGATGTAAGAAGAAAGGACTGGAGTGAAATCAAACTATTTGTTACATCTTCAGATGTTGAGAGGTGGCTTCTTGACACTGGACTGGTTGCTGGTGCTGCTTCTCACTGACTTGGTGAGGATGGTGGATTTACTGGTGAGGCTGGACTCAGTGTCAGACTGGGGGCCCCCCTGAAGATTTGGATATTCCTCTTTGTGCCACTGAGTGGCAGGATGATGGTATGTGATGGGCTTCACATTCCCTGCCGTGTGGAGCAGTGGCAGCGAGTGCATGTGCCTCTCTCTCTCGTGGTGAATGTTGGACTGGTTTTGTCTCTCGCAGGGCTCCAGGGATTGACTGCTGCAGCAGATTTTCAGCAGGATGTGCAGCAGCTCGACCAGGCTGATGACGGCCGAGATGACCCCGATGACAAAATAAAAGATCAGGAACACCGTCTTCTCCATTGGTCGCGAGACAAAGCAATCGACAGTGTGAGGGCACGGGAAACTGACACACAGGAAGCGAGGTTCAATGGTGAAGCCGTACAGCGCACACTGAGATACCACTAAACCAACCTCAGCCAGCAGCCGTATCAGCACATGAACAATGTAACACTTGCGGATTCTAGGCGTTCCTCTGGTTGGCGTCTCTTTGTTTTGGAGGAGGCCGATCTTCTCCTGTTTCTCCACACTCTTGGAGGACTGGTGCATAGCGTACACCACAAACAGCAGGGCCGGGATGGACAAGATGACAATGTGGAAAACCCAGAATCTGTAAGGAGAGATCGGGAAGGCTTTGCTGTAACAGACCTGCTTACACCCTGGCTGCAGAGTGTTACACTCAAACTCTTCTTGTTCATCCTCAAAAATGTCACCTCCCACCGTGCCCAGGATCAGGATCCGGAAAATCAACATGAGGAGCAGCCAGATCCGCCCAACCATAGGAGCATGGGCCTGGATCGACTCCAAGAGATCACTCAGGAAATTCCATTCTCCCATTGCGGTTCAGCCTGGGTTTGGGATTCTCAACTGCAGAGCAAACACAGACATGATTAAGCAGAGATACAGGAGACTTCCCGTTAACACTACTAATAAATACTACTAATAAATACTAATAAAAATACTAATAATAAATACTAATAAATACTAATAATAAATACTCATAATATATATTCATAATACATACTCATAATAAATACTAATAAATACTACTAATAAATATTATTAATAATAAATAATATTACTGCAGATGTGGGCACTTGGAACAAAACACCAGCACAGCGCGTGGAACCGGAAATTATTCAGTGTTTAAAAGAAGGAAGTGGACAAAATCCTGCAACTGAGAGGATTTGGTTATCGGGTAACGGAAAGACATGTGGGATAATGGCGAAAACGAGCTGTAGGGAGATCAGATTTGTGGCAGCCCCTAGTGCCCCAGCTCCTGTCTCGTCAGTGACCAGCAAACTTCTTCATGCCTCTACCCACCCCATACACCGCCCCCACCACCCACACACACACCCACCTATACACACACACCATACACACATACACAACCAGCACCCCCATACACACACACGCCATACACACACACACAACCGTCTACACACACACGCCATACACACACACACAACCGTCTACACACACATGCCATACACACACACACACGATCACCCCCCCATACACACACGTGCACAGCCCACCCACATACACCCCTCTCCCCCAGCTTTCAGCTATCCTGCCCCACACTCAGGAACAGCATTCCAGAATCCTGGGTAAAATGCTTTGAGACTTCCTCTGCGAGAACTGCTTTTACATGTAAATTGTCACACCTCTGTATGACTCCAGTGAGACTGGGTGAGGTGATGTTGCAGAGAGACAGGTGCCAGTGTGCATGTGTATGTGTTAGGTGTGTATGTGGGGGTGGCGAGACCAAGACAATTTACTGTACCACCTGCTGTAAAAGTCCAGCGGAAGAGTCGCCGTATAGATCAAGAAGAACAGGTGTGGACACCCAGGGGATGCCATTCTTTTGTAGCCTTGATAGATAACAGAAGACATCACCTTTATCACGTAATCCCAGCAAAGGGCATTTACATGATGTACCACAAATCCAATCTCCCGCTTCCCAGCCAACTTCCCACAAGCTCCTTCGGCATGTCTGACGGGAGTCCTGTAGCTCAGTGGTTCGTGCGCTCGCCTCACAAGTGAGAGGACCTGGGTTCAATTCCCGGGCAGGGCGAAACATTGGGGAAGTTTCCTGACTCCACACATCTCCGTTTACCCAGCAGTCAGTAGAAACCTGGTTTTAGTCAATTTTTGGATTGTTTTTCCGGGGATAATAATCCCTTCAAAAAAAATAATAATTTGGTGACTGAATCCGTGACTGTTTGCGGGACGCTGCTGTGCACAATTGGCTGCTGTGTTTCACCCAAAAAATGTACAGTCTATTCACTTTACAGTATATTCTGTGAAGCGCTTTGAGACGTCTCAAAGACGTGATAAGGATTATCATTAATAATAAATGCAAGAATTATTATTAATATTCTTGTTACCCAGTTCAGGGCAGGGAGAAGGGAAATGCTACAGGTCAGGGCAGGGAGGAGGGAAAGCTCAGCGCAGGTCAGCACCTCACTGCAGGCAGCACAAGGTCAGGCTTGGCTGAGATGTGATGCGGAATTGATTAACTCGGGCCACACATCAGGAATGTCCACTTGGGGCAGGAGAGAACCCGTTTCCCCGTATAACCTTGTACCTTCAGAAGAGGACAGAGAAGTAAACCGAAAGGGGTCAGAGGTCAACATCTTCTTACATTTGCTGTCTGTTCTCCTTATTTGCTGATTCACTAGTCTTGGTTTTTTAATAAAAACAATAATATTATCAATTGGTGTCAAGTGATTCTCAAGTGAGGTTCAGATGAAGAAAGGCCTTTTGGCTAATTTGATTCCCTCCTTCCAACAATAACAACAACTTGCACTTACATAGCGCATTCCACGCAGGGTAGCGTCTCAGAGCTCTTCCTGTAGAGTTTCCCATTTTACCACAAAACTGGGTAACACAGGAACAAGCTGGGTTTTCACTCTGGCCAATCTGAGCCACCTTTACTTTTTAGATCCAGCCCTGAGATTATCCAGTGTGAAATGCGCTTTATAAATGCAAGTTGCTTTTATAGATTATGCTAGATCTTTTAATCCCATTTCCCACGATTCCTCCAGGTCTAAATAAAACTGGTCACTTGTTTCATGGCTGTTTACAGGATGTTGCTGTGCGCACATAATAATAGTAATACTATATAATAATAATCGTTACATTTGATATAGTACCTTACCACAACTTTGCGACGTCTCAAAGCGCTTCACAGAATATGCTGTAAAGTGCAGTGACTCTATATTTTGTGAATGAAACATGGCAGTCAATTGCCCACAAACAGTTGTGGATTTATTATTATTATTTTTTGGAAGAAATTATTACCCTTGCAAAAAGCGATCCACCAAACGACTGACAACTGGGTTCCTCCTTGCTGCAAGGTAAACAGAGGCATGTGGAGTAAAGAAACTTGACCAATGTTTTGCCTGCCAGGAATCGAACCCAGGGCCTCTCGCTTATCCACTGAGCTACAGGACTACACATTAGCTGTCACGTTTGCTTATAAAACACACAGAAGTATATCTTGTTTTGAGGCATCCTCCTGATGTGCAACCCTATCAAATGCAAGGAATATGTATCACTGTAATTAAGTGTCTGAATAATGAATGTGTTCAAGCAACAACAGTGCAATAAAAACTAAAAACCAGTGAGTTCCCATTACAATTTGGAAGGAATTTTGAAAAATGTTCTCTTCCCAGCACTCTCTCTCTCTGGTGGAACGAGTAAAATCTCTCTACATTAGCCTCTCTTAATCCCCCATCTTGACTGACCCTCCCTCTAAACCTGCCCCACCTCACACCACCCGAGCCTCAGCTTTCCTGCCTCACTACAATACAGCAGGAACCCGAACCCATGTGCTGGGAGACGCAGCATTGCACCCTCGTGAGTTACAGTTCCCGATTGGTGCATCATGTGTCAGCGTCCGGGGCAGTCTCCCACATATCACTGCCCATCACAGCATCCGCAATGGCCTCCCCCCGACCCCCACCACCAATACAGTCCCAGGCATTGGACTCGCTTCAAACTACCTGTCCACTCCCTCCACTCAGCAGGCTCCGGCCTGCTCCACATCCCCAACTTTGGTTGAACTCCCGGACTGTCCAGCACCTTGGGACGTTCTCCCGACATGAAAGGCTCTTTACAAATGTAATTTTTCTGTTGTATTCACTGCAAATGACCAAATGGGAATACGTGAAAAACATTCCCAGCACCAGCCGCCACAAACAATTTCATTGAAAAGAGGGAGGTAAAGGACTTTATCAAAGAAAAAGCTACCTAATGAGTCACCTCCCCTCCCTCAGACACACCCTAAAGGAAACAGGCCTTTACAATTTAACCAATTGTACACCTCACTGTCAATTATAATCATAAAAACTTACATTGGAATTTGTTCCACAGAAACTTATTTGATATCGTTATCATTGAACATGAAAAGTTAAGAAAAGGCCATTTCCTCCAATCACAGCGTAGACTTCACTTCTTGTGAACTTTCTCCAACTAGTTCATCTGCAATGTTTGTCCTACCCCCAAGATAACATTTATTCTAGCCCCAATTTTACTTGAGATTATTAGTTTATTACTGTTGTCCTCTCAAGCTGTGTTCACAGTCCAAGATTTTTTTTAATGAAAACTCCTTCCTTATACATTACTCCTCCCTCTCACCAGCTTTAATCCCTGTATCTTTTGCCTGTTTAATCTGCCTTCATTCTCCACTGAAAACGTGCTCCCAAGTCTACATCCCGAGTCCCTGAGTCAGTCCCATTAATAATAATAATAATAATAATAATAATAATCCTTGCATTTGATATAGCGCTTTTCACGTCGGGAGGACATCCCAAAGCGCTTCACAGAACACACTGTAAAGTGAATTGACTGTATATTTATGGGCGAACGCGGCAGCCAATTGCGATCAGCAATGTCCCACAAACAGTCGTAGATTGAAAATGACCAATTTATTATTGTTTTTGGTTTTTGGAGGGATTATTATCAGGTGCGTGGAGTAAGGAAACTTGCCCAAGGTTTCGCCCTGACCTGCCTGGAATTGAACTCAGGTCTCTCACTTGCAAAGCGAGTGCTCTAACCACTGAGCTACAGGTCTCCTGTACCATTAATAATAATAATAATAATAATAATAATAATAATCCTTGCATTTGATATAGCGCTTTTCACGTCAGGAGGACGTCCCAAAGCGCTTCACAAAACACACTGTAAAGTGAATTGACTGTATATTTGTGGGCGAACGCGGCAGCCAATTGCGCACAGCAATGTCCCACAAACATTGCTCGTCTCTGAACCGCCTCTTAACTCACAAATATTCTACAGCGGATAGAGGGCCCCAAAACAACACACAGTGTTGGCCAAACAGGATCTCACCAGTTAGTTCATTGATATAGCTTCAAAATAAGTTTTTTTTAAAAACTCTTGAGTCAAATGTCTTTGATCTGCGTCCCACACAGGCCTGGTGTACACTGGGCACATACTACAGTGCAGGCTCCTGGCCCGAACAGCTTCACTTGGGAACTTCTTTCCGAAAGTTTTTCTCCCTTATTTAGAAAAGCAATCAGAGACTTTTTTCATAATGAAGACAGAAACATTCCACCCACATTGGAATAAGATGCTGGGAGCCAAGCATTGCACAAGGTTCTTGCTTCAGTGATTGTGCCATACATAACCCAACACAAGTAACACGGAAAATCAGTAGGATTTATTGTAGCGTTGAAAGTGACTGCACTGTAGATTTACAAGGGGGATGAGTGAACACAGTGATCAGGAATGATTCGGAAGGTTGGAGCTTTTCCCTTTTAAGCTGAGACAATTGAAAGGGGTTTAAGATTTTGTAAGGATTCAATCAGGTTAATGGGCTGTTTCCACTTGCGAGTCCATAA